TAATAAATAGCCTGAAGAATTTTTTGGATTTTCTATATAAACCTGAAAATAATGACAGTTTTATTTCTAATCTTTCCATCTTTGTTTTATTTTGTTATCTTACTGCCTGGGACAGCACTGTCCAACAGGAATCTCATGTGAGTCATATATGCAGGCCACGTGCATAATTTGAAAATTTACAATAGCTACATCTAAAAATTAAAAGAGGCAGGTGATGTTAATTTTTATATTTCATAGAGCCCTATGTATCAAAAATACTATTGTTTTAATATGTAATCGATATAAAATTATTAGACATTTTACTGTGGTTAGTTGTTTTGTTTTTAAAATCCAACATGTATTTATTTTACTCTTACATCTGTTCGGACTAGTCACAGTTCAAGTTCTCAGCAGTCACAGGTGACTAGTGGCAAAGTATCGGGCAACCCCGGTCTGGGCTACCCAGTGCGACGTTCAGGGGAGATCGCAGTCATCGCCGCCTTGTTACCGGCCGGAAGGGGGTGCTTGTAACGGGTCACCATTAATTCAGGTATCTGCTGGTTTCTTGTGGACGCCTTTACCGGGATAAAGACATTCCCTTGTATTTCTAGTTTGCTACAAGTTTTAAAACATAAACAGATGTGGAACTTTTCCTGCATCTTCCGAGGTGAGCGTGCCTTTCTGCTTTAACTTTTAATGTGGCTAATTGACTCATTTTCAAGTATTACGTTAACCTTGCATTTCTGGACAAGACCCCATTTTGTCACGATGTATTATCACTTTTACACACCGCCAGATTTGGTTGGCTAATGTTTTGTTTAGGGTTTTTTTTTTAAATCTATATTCATGACAATGGACTGCTTTTCTTTTTTTGTACTGTATCTGTCATGAAGAGAATTGGGAAGTATTCCTTCTTTTTCTTTTATGTGGAAAAGTTGGGGTAAGACTGGAATTCTTTTTTTCTTTAAATAACTCATAGGGGAAGCCCTCTGGGCCGGAGTTTTCTTTGTGGAAACTGATGATTGATTTGATTCCTTTCATGGTTATGGGAAGGTCTGGTGTTCAGCTGATGCCACGGGACTTTGGGTAGCTCAAGTACCAAAATAGCTTCATTCCAGTTGGCACATAACTCCCAACCCTTCACCCCCAGACCTTCCAGTGCGGAGCAGTGAAAGGGTTAACGCCCGACGTGCCAGGGGCTTCCCCGGCTGGCCCAGTGCTGAGGCTGCACCTGTCAGGAATGCTCAGCGTCCGGGGCTAAATACTTTGGTCCCACCACTAGGAAGGATGCTCATTCAGGTTTTCTCTTGTCAGTTTTGGCAAATTATATCTTTCTAGGGATTTGCTCATTTCATTAAGAAAATTCCAGCTATTGTAATAGTTATTCATAATATTGTTTATATTTTCTTTTTCTCAATCTCTGCAGCCTCTCTAGCTTTTCACCCTTGATTTTGGTTAATTGTGCCTTCCCTTTCTTCTTGATCAACCTCATCAGAGGGCTGTCGAAACTACTAGTCTTTGTGGGGAAGTAATTGCTGCTAATCTTGTCTCATTATTTTCTGCACTTATCTTTACCCTTCCTTTTGTTTTTTTTTTCTAGCTTCTTGAGATGGGTGCTTACTTACTACTTTCAGCCCTTTGTCTTTTCTAATACAAGCATTACAGGCCATGAACGTCCCTTCAAATTGTGCTTTAGTTGTATCCCATATTTTAAAATGTAATATTTTCACTCTCATTCAGTTAAAAATATTTTATAATTTCCATTATGATTTCTTTTCTGATCCATCAGTTATTTAGAAATATACTTCTTAATTCCCAAACATATGGGGCTTCTGAAATTATCTTTTTGTTATTGATCTCTGGTTTATTTGTGTGGTGGTCAAAAAAATATACTCTTATCTGATTTCAGACTTTTACTTTTTTTGGTAAATATTCCATGTGTCTTGAGAAGGAGAGCATCCTGCAGCTGAAAAACCGTGGTGTTCTCTAAAAGTCCATTAGACAAGTTTCTTAATCACACCCTTACTGAATATGTCTGCTTATTCTACCTATTACAGGGGATGTGTTTTAAGATCTCCCACTGTACTTGTGGATTTGTCTATTTTTCTGTGTTCTCTTCTTTGTGTTTCTTGTATTTTAAGACTGTGTATTTGCAGGCGAGTTTGAAATGATTCTATCTTTCTGGTGAACTGGACCATTCTCATTATGAAGTGACCTTCTCTACCTCTATGATTTTTTCCCCCTGACATTGAAATAACCGCATTGGCCTTCCTTTCGTTGGCCCTTGCATGCTCTTTCCCCCACCCACTTACTGTCACTCTTCCCGTGTCCTTGCGTTTTGGAGACGTCTCTTGTAAACTGCACACAGTTGGATTGTATCCAGTGTGAGAATCTTTGCATTTGAGCTGCAACATTTAGCCCAGCTGCATTTACTGAATTACAGTGCATTTGAATGTGTATCTGTTTGTCATCTGTCTGTCCCAGCTATTTCGTATTTCTTTTTCTCTCCATCCTTGCTGACTTTAGGATGGATTGGGGGTTTTCTCAGTCGATTTCTGCCCTCCAGTAATTTGGATAAATATCATATACTGCACTTTCATTCTTTGACTGTTTACCCTGGCAATGACAGTTGCATTATTAACTCCTCAAAGTTTCAACGTCTTTGGCATCTGTCTTCGCCTTCCCCCGAAGACCAGAAGGGCCTTAGGGCGCCAGCCCGTCGCCCAAGCGCCNGTCCTCGCTCTGCGCACCCGCCCTCGGCCGGGCCGCCCGCCTCCAGCCTCGGGCGCCGCCGCAGGAATGGCCTTGGAGGCGGCTCTGCTGGAGTTAAATCTGAGTTTGGGCACTTGTGAATGTTATTATGTCCCTTCGTTCCGCCCAGATATTTTCACTGGGTACCTGGTTTTTGAAAGAACTTTTCCCTGGGCATAGCATTCTAAGATGATGGCTAGCTTTACGTAACGTTCCTCTGCCTTCTGGCTTCCGTGGCTTCGGATAAAAAGTCACTTTTTTTTTTTTTTTCTGTGCGCAAGACAGAAGCGCTTGGACTTTGCTCTGAGACGAACAGGGAGCTGCG